CTGGACTGGATGTTGAATGTTGCAGATACGGACAGCGGAACTGATGGCTTACCATTTGGAGCGCGATGCGCTTAGCGTGGGCGGCGACGATGGTAACATTCTGTTATTGCTAGGAAGTTTGTAGTTTTACACATATATGTGATTATAGAAAATATAATCAGACTGTCCTGGAGGATCCAGGAAATCCTGCAGCCCTTTGTTGCTCGAGAAAAAGAGCGACCCTCACCTCCCCCTTTCTCCGCGAGGGGGGGTGGGTGCGCGTGCATGGTAGCGGAGCTCGCTTGAGGTTCGCGGGCCGCTCCGCACCCAGGCGAGCTCCAGGAGCCCCTCGAGAGGGCCCAGCGGCGCGGCGCCGCGGGTCCAGCAGCCGGCGGGACGAGCCGCGCGGCCGCCGAGCGAAGTACCCCTTGCTGGTCAGAGCTGCGGGCAGACCCGCGCTCTGGCAGTGGAGGCCAGCCAGCCAACAAGGGCAAAGGCAAGGCCACGCTGAAGGTCAAGAAGCCGAACAAGCGAGGAGGCAGAGCGGCGGACACGCGCCAGCACCGCCAGGACCGAGGGAGCGCCTTTAGGAAGCTTGCGGCGTGCGGCAACGCGGCGCAGCTCACTCAGGAGGAGCGAGCAGCGGTGAAGAGGCAGCTGGCGAGCGACATCGAGAGGCTGGAGAAGCGTGTCATTGACGTGCTCGTCGACCAAGATGGAGCAGCAGCTGCAGCAACTGGTCGATCAAGTTCAGAGGCTGACGACGGAGAGTCAGAACATGAGGCAGGAGCTTCAGAACAGGGACGTGGCGATCGCAGAGATGAGAGGACAGCTTCAAGGTCAGCAGCAGGCTCAGCAGCAGCGGGTTAGCCCCGCGCGGCGAGATGATGGATCCGAAGATCCTTCACAAGGTGAAGCCGTTCGACGGCCAAAGGTCGAGCTGGAAGACGTTCAGCTTCCAGTACAGAGCGTACCTGATCGCCCAGGATCGGAGGTACCGAGATCTTCTGGAAAGGTGCGAGGACGGAGCCCAGGAGGTGGACAACGTCAACCTGGACCCGCAGGAGGAAGAACTCAGCACGCAGTTGTACTACGGCCTGGTCCTGGCCATGCCCGAGGACTCGGTAGGCGAGCTGATCGTGAGGAACAGCCCAGTAGGAGAAGGAGCCGAGTGTTGGAGGAAGCTTCAGAAGGAGTACAACCCGAGCGAGGCAGGCAACGTGCTGGCGATGTGGACCAAGCTCACGGACACGAAGTTCGACGCCAAGGAAGACGTGATGGTGAGCATCAGCAAGCTGGACGAGGACATGGCGAGGTACCAGAAGATGGCAGGAGAGCCCGTCTCGGACCTGATCAAGCGCGGCATCCTTACAAAGGCGCTGAAGGATCACGACGAGCTGCAGAAGCACGTGTTTCGGAACAGCAGTCGGTTAAGTACGTACGAGCTTCTGAGAGCCGAGGTAGTGTCGGCGTTGACGGCAGAGCGAGCGGTTCAGGACGACCCGATGGAGATCGGAGCGCTGAAGGGCGGAAAGAGACCGTGGAAAGGCCGCGGCAAAGGGAAAGACGGCAAAGGCAAGGAGAAGCCATCGAATCCCGACGCCGAGATCGAGTGCAACTACTGCCACAAGAAGGGCCACCGCAGCGCAAACTGCCGAAAGCGGATCGCCGACGAGAAGAAGACAGCCGAGAAGGACAAGAAGGACAAGAAGCAGCTCCGAAAAGAGAAGACAAAAGAAAAGAAGAGGATCGGGGCAGCGGCAGTCAAGGAGCTCGAAAGGTTACGACAGACAGGAGTGGGCACAGGAACAAGCTCGGCAGCACCGACACAACAGATGCTGGGAAGTCAGGGCAGCGCCGACAGCGCGATGACTCAGCAGGTGCTGCGCCCAGTCAACTGTGCGCTGCAAGCGAAGATGATTCTGGCCCTGAGGGCAGAGGTCACAAGAAGCGCAACCACACGATCGACTGGAAGTACTGCTTGCCTGGCTACTACCAATATGACTGCAGCTCTTGCAAGAAGACCTTTGAAGGATGGCGATGGCACTACGCTCAGTGGCAGCTGGACTTCTGTGCCGTGTGCGCCGAGTACTGCCTGGACAGCTGCAAGGACGGGGAAGAGCCAGACGACAACAAGAAGCCAAAGCCAAAGAAGCGCAAGAAAGACTAGATTCGTCGCTGACGGCTGTAAGTGCTGCGATATGCCAGCTGCGGTGAGCCCCGCGCTGGCCGGCCCCAGGCCTGTTACCGTCGCTGGTCTTCGGCCCGTGGATGAAGATCAGAGCCCTGCGGATGACCGATTGCGGTTAGCCCCGCTTCGGAATGCGATCATGCTCGACTCAGGTGCGCAGATCAGTGCGGTACCGAGGTCACAGGTGACCAAGCACAACTACACGCCGACGGACAGCAACGTTGTCGGCTTGAAGGGCATAGGAGGCGAGGAGATCGAGAGGTACGGCCACGTGGAGCTGAACCTATCCCGAGGAGGAGAGGTTATTCAAGTCGGTGCTGAGGTTGCCGATGTGGAGTACCCAGTTGTGGCTACAGACGCTGTAGTACAACGTGGTCAGAGTGTTCTTCATAGCCCTGCAGGTCACTGGATCATCAACGGTACCATCGAGCCACCTGACGGAGCTGAGTTCGTACCTCTACGTCGTCACCAAGGCAACTACTACTTAGAGTACGATCACATCATCGACGGCCAGACTCAACCAGAAGCTTCACAGGTAGCTGCAGTACGAAAGACACTACCGAGGAAGGTACCAGCTGAACATGAAGCTGGATCTTTGCCGAAGGTTCTAGGTCCCGAAGCTGATGAGACCACAACTGTGCCAACGAGAGTGTTGAAGACTCCTCACCAACCTAGTGCTGCGGAGAGGGCCGCGCACGAAGGGCATCATCTACCTTTTCGGCCTTGGTGTCCTATCTGCGTGCAGGCTCGAGCAGACGATGACCCCCACTACGCTCAAGAACCAGCTGATGAGAACCAGATCCCGAAGGTGGTGTTCGACATCTTTTATGTAGGGACGGACCAGCTGGCTGCGAAGTACAAGCTTAAAGGAGGTTACTTCAGCATCAGGGAGAAGACGTCGGTCACGAAGGCCGAGTTAGACCAAGCGATCTCTGTCTTGAATATTATCGACTGTAAGATCTTGGCTCAGGCGACGTTGTACGCGAACAAGGAGATGGATGACTACAAGGTGTCCTTCCTGCTAGGCGTGCTGGAAGCTTGGGGTCACACAACAGTCATACTTCAGACAGACTCGGAGCCTGCCACCTTGGCTCTGGCGAACGCAGTTCGAGATCGCAGATCACACTCAACCTTGGTGCGGGGATCACCGCCCTTTTCCAAGCAGAGTGCAGGCTACGCTGAAGGAGGTAACAAGCTAGCAGCTGGTCTACTTCGAGCCTACAAGCTGAAACTGGAGCACAAGCTGGGCAGCGAGATCAAGATGACGGATCCGATCGTGCCATGGCTTGTGAACTCAGTGGGGTGGATGATCACCAGATTCCAGCCTCGCAGTCACGGAGGTTCCTCCTACAAGATGCTCTACGGCAAAGAGTACAACGGCGAGATTGCGGAGATGGGTGAGCAGGTCTGGTATCGGATCTCAGCCCGAGTTGCCGCGGGACGTGGCAAATGGGAAGCCCGCTTCGCAAAAGGAATCTGGGTTGGTAAGAGCGAGCTGGACGACACACATCTCGTGATCGATCCTGAACGTGGAGTGCAGAAGGTCAGAACGGTGCGAAGGATGCCTGAGGAGTTCAGGTGGCAGCCCGAGCTCATCCAGCACATCAGGGTGACGCCCTGGAAGCAGACGCCCGACAAGAGTTCAGGAACCATCGGACGCAGTATGTACATCACGGAGCGCATGATCGATGCTCATGGTCCTACCGACGATTGCAGGAAGTGCAGTACAGGATACGGTTCGCATTCGGCAGCCTGCCGTCAGCGTTTCGAGACCATTCAGGCCGACTTGCTGCGCGAGAAGTTGGCGAAGGACCCTGTGGCCCCTGAGGCTACAGTCGTGGTGCCAGCGCCGGCTGCAGGAAGCCCCGCGCCTGGAGCCGCACCCGGAGGAGCAGCGGCATCAAGCAGCAGTGAGGTTGCGGTGAGCCCCGCACCTGCTGCCAGCGACGTAGCTATGGTTCCTGGCCCAGGAGAGGCTGAGGTGCAGACAGCCATGGACACGGAGAGTGGAGAGCTGAGGAGCGACTTTCAGCGAAGTGCCCCAGGTGAAGTTCGTGAAGGAGCTGAGGTCAAGAAGCCCAGGATAGCAAGCATTGGGCATCTCTCTGTCTGTGAGTTGGCAGTCTGCGAGGAGGGCTACGACGAGAGCTTCGACCCCATGTGGGATCCACACCCAAAGCGTAGTGCGAGATGTTCCGAGAGGTGTGAGAAGCACTCGTCACGATGCCAGCTACGAGAATGCCACCAAGCTGAGTGTGCATGCAGGAGATGTTTGATGAGCCACATCGGCACGATCAGGAGCCACTTAGGAGATCCTGAGGAGCAGCAGGTGGAGCAGATGGTTGAGGTGAGCGCCGAGCTGCATGAGAAAGACCAGTGGAGCCCAAAGACGATACACTACGATTACTACACTGGAGAGCCTCTGGATGAGGACCTGTATCAGAAGGGTCGCGACGACGAGCTGCAGGCCATGAAGGACTACGGGGTCTACGTGGAAGTGGCGACATCGACGGCGACTGACGGCAAGCACATTGGAGGTTTCCCGATAGCCCACATGAAAGAAGGAAAGGTTAGGTGGAGGTTCGTAGCCACCGAGGTGAACAAGTACGAGGTCAGGGAGGATAACCACCAAGGCACGCCCCCGCTCATGATTGTCAGAGCGACGCTGAGCCGTGCCGCTTCAAGTCCAACTTCCAGCGGGCAGCACCTGCGGAAGATACAAGTTTGGGACGTCAGGAAGGCTTTCTTCAACGCTGACTTAGACGAGACGATCTACGTGCATCCTGGGAGAGAGCTGTGTCCGCCCGGAAGGTGCTGGTGGTTACGCAAGGCCATGAACGGTACCAGGAAGGCGTCGCAGATGTGGGGTGAGCTTGTGAGAACTACTATGGACGACGGTCATTGGGACTGCTTGGTTGGAACTCCTAACGTGTTCTACTTACCTGCTAGCCCCAACACAGCCCCCGTCGACGAGGATAGCACAGCGATCTGCCATGGCGATGACTTTCTTGCTGAAGGCTACGACGAGCAGCTGGACGAGCTGGACGAGTTATTGAGGCAGCAGTTTGAGGTCACGGCCAGCGCCAGACTTGGACCAGGAGCGGTGGGGCAGACTACATACCTCAAGAGGACGATCGGCTATACCGACAAGTTGCCAGGTTGCGAGGAGCCGGGTTTCTTCTGGACTGCCGATCCTAAGCATGTGGACTTCATGATCAAGTGGACGCAGAAGCGAGGTTGTAAACCAGCTCCCACTCCAGGAACGAAAGCTACAGGACAAGGCCGACGAGACAGCCTAGACCTTCTTTCCAAGGATCGTGCTCGAGAAGTGGCGGGTGCAGCAGGCACCGCTCTTTACCTTTCTTCGGATAGGCCCGACACGATGTACGCCAGCAAGACAGCGATGCAGCACGTCTCCAACCCGAACGTCTTGATGCATGCGCGTGTTCAGCGACTTGGAAGGTACTACGAGGGACAGCCTGTGTTGGTCTGGTGTTACCCACTTCAAGGTACTCCTGAAGGCATTCGTGTAGATGGTGACGCAGATTGGGCACCTACGAGTGAACTACAGCGGCGATCTACCAGTGGAGGAGCTGTGAGGTATGGTGACCACACTTGGGACTGCTACTCAGTGACGCAGAGTACGATAGCCCTAAGTTCAGGGGAATCCGAGATGTACGCTACGGGAAGTGCGACAGCCAGAGGACTTCAGTGTAAGACTTACCTGATCGAGACCCAGAGGCCCTGCAACCTGAAGATCTATAGTGACAGCACAGCTGGACGTGGCATGTGCAGCCGAGTTGGGGTGGGCAAGGTCAGGCACCTGGAGTTGAGGTACTTGTGGATTCAGGAGCGGTTGCGTCTCAAGGCGTTCGAGCTTCACAAGGAGGACACCAGCAAGATGACAGCCGACATGCTCACGAAGTACACCGAGTGGCCGACAATCGAGAAGCATTGCACCACTCTCAACCTCAGGTTCGGAAAGCAGTTGAAGGGCTTGAGCGCAATGGCAGTTTTCACAGAGGTCGTGACGAAAGCGTCAGGCGAGAAGGTGACAGTGTACGGAGGTTCTGACGAGGTTGCGGTTTGCCCCGCGCCTGTCAGCCACTACGTGGACAGCGAGGAGTTCTGGTTCTTCCTGAAGTTGGGGCTTGTTGTGGTGACTGCAGCCAGTGCTTTTTTACTGGGGTGCTGGTGTGGTTGCTACTTCAAGAACTTCTACGACAAGTTCCTCCTCCAGGGTGCGGTTAACCCCGCCTCTGGAAGCACTTGCACACCATCTGCGCGGGCTGGCGTCGAGTTCAAGACCGTGTGTGTACAGCAGGACAAAGGTGCAAGGCACAAGCTCTTAAGCACGTTTCTTGTAGCTGAGCTGCGAGCTGTCTTGAAGGCCAAGGGCCTGGCCGTGTCAGGGATCAAGGAGGACCTGGTCACGAGGATGATCAAGCACGGATGCGTTCTGTCGGATCGCCAGGCCAAAGAGATCGAGCAGCTACGGGTGATGGCTACAGCGTATGGACCTCTTGCCAAGCTCAGCTTGCAGGACATCAGCAGTCCAGAGGCCGCGCAGAAGTGGATCGAGACGTTCAAGAGCGAGTGCGGAGACCGTTCCAGAGGCTCTCAGGTGATCCACGGAGAGGGCCAGGAGAATGGTCGCAGGAAGCACTACGACAGCCGAAGGTGAGCTTTCTTTTACAGGCTGCGGTTTGCCCCGCGCCTGCCCTCTGCGGGTAGCCCCGCGATGGGCTTAGGTGGCCAGCGCCGTTGCGAGGCCTGCTAAGGGAGCACAAAGTGGTTTCCCTGTGGCTCACTCTTCTCGGCTGGAGGCCGAGCCGCTTCCCGCGCCCAAGGAGAGGTGCTAGGAAGTTTGTAGTTTTACACATATATGTGATTATAGAAAATATAATCAGACTGTCCTGGAGGATCCAGGAAATCCTGCAGCCCTTTGTTGCTCGAGAAAAAGAGCGACCCTCACCTCCCCCTTTCTCCGCGAGGGGGGGTGGGTGCGCGTGCAGTTATGTAGACGGCCGGGCACGCTGAACTCAGGGGTGATCTATTTGGCACTCGACACACACACGATTGGTTAGTTTCAGCAGTCCAACATGTTACAGTGCTCATGCACCTTTATCCCACCAACTTCACATTTACAGCGAGGAACGAGTTCGGAGGACGGGGAGCTCAGGACGGAGGAGGGGGCCGACGAGGATGCATATCGAACGCGATGGCGAAGGGCAGGAGCAGGAGAACAGCCACGAGGAAGGAGAGGTTGAACCGCGGGATGTGCATGGAGGAGGAGCAGGGTGAGCAGGGGGAGGAGGGGGACCTGGTGGAACTGGTGACGACGGGGCGAGGAATCTCCTGGGAGGCCTGGGCCCTCCGAGGTCCCTGCTGGAGGCGTCTTCTTCGGACATTTTCTTGTGGAAGTCTTCATCGACGGGCGTTGACGACGACGGCGGCGGTGGCGGCGGCTGCAGTCTCCAGAGATCCCCGGAGGCCTCTGGCCTCGCGAGAAAGTTTGAGTGTGTAGATTCTTTCGAGGCTCGAGCCCGGAGGGTCGAGGCCTGGGCTCTCCTGGAGGTCCGTGGGGGCGTGTTTGGAGGCTTCTGGAAGTCTCGACAGGTTTCCGGAGGCATCTGGCTTCTCAAGATCCGGAACGGGCAACGGAAACATCAAGAATTCAGATTCAGTCGAGTTTCGAGCCTGGAGGGTCGAGGACGGGCAGGAGTTGGAGGAGGTCTGCGATTGGTCAGTATGCGCCGTGCCACGCGTACTTCTCCCGAGGTGTCCTCAATCCTCGACCCGAGTATGGTACGTGCCTAGATTTCCGGTCAGAGGGCCGAGACAACTATGCATTATACCGCGCTGGGGTGGGGCTGAACGGAGTTCGAGCGTGGCACGGTGCATGAATGCCACTTGCACAGACCTTTGATACCACAGGAACTGCACTTGTCTTTCTGCATGTGCCATAGCAGGCGGGCCGGATCATAGTCAGCTTCAGGGGGCCCATGAAGTCAGTTTTGGAAGCTATCTGGGCCCAGCAGTTTTCTGATGAATTCTGTAAAGGACGAGCAGCACCGGCGGCGCGCACAAGGGGGTGGCGCGAGCTGGGTGGCCTTCGAAGAAGGCGGGGATATTATAACAAGCCAGGGGCCTTCTTAGAACAGGGGCCTTCTTCGAAGAGGATTTGGGAGGGTTTCTGAGACGGCCCCTCCCTGGAAGAAGCCCCCCGCCTTCTTGGAAGGCTACCCCCTTTGCGCCACCCCTTTGTGCGAGCAGCGGCGGGACCAGCGGAGCGGGTTTGAATCCAGGATCGAGGAAGCGCAACCATGGATTGAGGCGCGTGGATTAGCGACGGAACCCCGTCTCCGTGCGGTATCGGCGCACGCCGTCGCTAAATCAGACGGCATCGGCTTCACGTTTCGGGGGTACTCTTCCCGATCCGTGGATGACGGAAAGCGCGCGTAGCGTCGCGATCTGTCAGTCGGGAGACATAACTAGGGTGGGGGGGGGTAGGCAGCTCGGGCCTCAGATCTAATACCCCCAAGTTTCGGCCATTTTCGGCCCAAGTCAGCCCCGAGAGCGCCCGAGTCGGCCCAAGAGGTCCCAAGATACCTCCAAGACGGCGTCGGAGAGGTCCACGAGCGCCCGAAGACGGTTCAAGAGCGCTCCAAGAGGGCCCAGGGCCCAATCTGATTTTAAGATAGTCCAAAAGGCCCCAAGACGCTAGGCAAAACTCGTCCCATTCCGTAGGGGAAACGTACATGTGTAGCATATCCGCTTCTTTGGCTTTCGCAGCGCCCAAAGCGGCCCAGGAGGCCCCGAAGGCCGCCCCAAGACGGCCCTAGAGGCCCCCAAGACGGCCCAAGTGAGCGTCAAGACGGCTCAAGAGGCCCCTGAGGGCCCCAAAAGGTTCCCAAGAGAGCCCCAAGAGGGCCACAGGAGGTCCCCAAGGGGACCCAGGAGGGCCCCCAGAGGGCCCCAAGACTGCCCAAGCCACCAGGAAGGCTCGAAAATGCAAATTCATTGATTTTCGCAAGGTTCGGTGCTAGATTTCTGTATGTCGCGCCGGAGTCTTGACATCAACAGGGCTCCAAGACACTAAGCCAGCGACCCCGCGCCCTCACAAAATACACGCGCTTTCCGTCCCCATGCCGAGCAGGTAACGGAAAGAGCGAGGTACGAGTGATGTCGTTCTTGTGTGGAGCGAAGCCCTCTAGGGAGGAGTTCCAGGGGAGTGGCGAGGGGGGAACCGATACGTCAAATGGCCGTTTGGGGGACGGCTCCAAAGGCTCTCTAGAGGGCCTCCGAGGGGGCCAGATGAGGCAAAAGACATTGATTTCCTTACGGTTTTTGGATGTGTTTCTGGTTCTCGCCTTTTTCGGGTCCAGAAGGGCCCGAGACGGCCCACGAGGCCCCAAAGATCGTCCCCAGACAGCCCCAGAGGCCCCCCAAAGAGCCCAAAACGGTCCAGACGGGCCCAAGGCGGCCCCAGAGGTCCAGGAGAGGAGCGAGGGGGAACCGTTTGGGCGTTAATGGCCGCCGGGGGGCCGTTTCCCTTATTGTAGTGGCCTCCGGCCAGTGTCGCCGATCCGGGGCGCTCCCGATGATGATGGCAATGATGATGATGATGATGATGATGATGATGATGATGATGATGATGATGATGATGATGATGATGATGATGATGATGATGATCAGATGATGATGATGATGATGATGATGATGATGATGATGATGATGCTGATGATGATGATGATGATGGTGGTGATGGTGATGATGATGATGATGATGATGATGCTGATGCTGCTGCTGCTGATGATGATGATGATGAAGATGATGATTATGATGATGCTGATGATAACGATGATGATGATGATGATGATGATGATGATGATGATCAGATGATGATGATGATGATGATGATGATGATGATGATGATGATGATGATGATGATTCTGATGATGATGACGATGACGATGATGCTGATGATGATGCTGATGCTGATGTTGATGCTGATGCTGATGCTGATGCTGCTGCTGCTGATGAAGATGATGATGATGATGATGATGATGATGATGATGATGATGATGATGATGATGATGATGAGATGATGATGATGATGATGATGATGATGATGATGATGATGATGATGATGATGATGATGATGATGATGATGATGATGATGATGATGATGATGATGATGATGATGATGATGATGATGATGTGACGATGGTGATGGTTATGGTGATGGTGATGGTGATGGTGATGGAGATGGTGATGATCCCGGCCCCCCCCACACCTCCCCTCCTCTCTCCTGTCCCCCTCCCCCTCTCTCCTGTCCCCCCCCTCTGTCCTTTCCCTCCCCCCCTCTCTCCTGTCCCCCCCCCGTCTCTCCTGTCCACCCCCTTCCCCCTATCTCCTGTACAATTACTCAATATGAATACTACTCTCCCTCTTCCCCTGATGACGTGCTGGGAGTGTTCGCCCCCCCCCCCCCCTGCGTCTTGTTTTTTTACACACAGGTTTCCCGGGAGTTGGGTTTTCGCTTGCATTTTTTTTCAAAATGCTGCTCTCGCTGAGGCGCCGGCCTCATTTTCGGTCCCCGCTCGTTCCGAATCGTGCTCCCGCTGCAGCGCTGGTCTCATTTCCGCGCTTCCGCTCGTTCCGAATCGTGCTCCCGCTGCAGCGCTGGCCTCATTTCCGCGCTTCCGCTCGTTTCGACTCGTGCTCCCGCTGCAGCGCTGGCGTCATTTCCCGTGCCATGCCACGGCATGCAATGCAATGCTAGGTTGATACTACGCTTTGCGGTGCTCTTCTACGCCATGCCATGCCGTGCTCTACAATGCATCGCGTACCCTTTCGGGATCATTGCCCTGCTCGACATCCGACTGTGCGAGTAGAGAGGGGATCTGCGCCATGGTAAAGGATGGGAGGGAGGGGTAGGATGTCAGATATGACGCGAGCGCACTAGCTTGTCCACCCCCCCTCTCCCCCCTCCCTCTCTCCTGTCCCCCCCTTCCCCCCCTCTCTCCTGTCCCCTCCCTTCTCTCCCGTCCCCCCCCCCCCGCCCCGCCCTCTGCTACATTCGCAACCCCCCCTC